CGGCGGCGGGCCGGGGCGACGGCGCCTCGCCGGCGCGGTCGCCGGCGGAGCCCAGGGTGCCGCCGAGCACGCCGATGGACTCGGTGGAGGCGGCCGCCTGGGGCGACGCGCCCGCCTGCCCGGCGGCCTCGGCGGCGGGCGTGGTCGGCGCGCCGCCGGAGGTGGCGCACGGCGGGCGGGCGGCGGAGGGCCTCCCGCTCGCCCCCGGGGTGATCTACGAGGTGCGCGCGGCGGGCGCCGGCGCCCCGTGAGGCGGGCCGCAGGCGGCGCGCGCGCGCGCTGCGAGCGCCCGCCGGGGCGCCGGCTAAAATGCCCGCGCGGCGCGGCGGGCACGGGACTCGGAGGCGACGACAGGGGCGAATAGCCCAGGGGAGAGCAATACCATGTATTCAGGTGCGCCGATGATCCATGTCTTCGACAAGGCTCCCTGGCGAATACGTGTAATGCCCGCCCCTGGGCTATTCGCATTACCGTCGCCGCCGAGGGACTCCCTTCGCCAGGGTGGGAGCGGGTCCTAAGGGAAACGGGGCCTGAGCAGGGCTGGACCCAAACGGTGTCCTGGAGATTGTTCGTGGGCCATTCTCGTTTCGACCTCGTCTTGCGGTATAGAGGCGGATCGAAGTCAAGACGAGGGTGAACGAGAACGAGCAAGGAAACGGAAAACACCGTTTAGGTTCGGCCCTGGCCCCGAGGTTGTTCGACGTTTTCGGGCCCTCGGGCCCTCCTGCACGGGCCCCGGGACCGAGAGTTCGTCTTGGGAAGGCCCCAGGCAAGGTCCAGGGCCCGCTGCCCTCAGGACCCGCCTCCCCCATGCGAATTCGTCCTTCAGATCCATGCTACCCAGAGATCCAACGCATTTAAAAAATCAAGACAGGTTTTTACCTAACAGCGAAGACTGATAGGTTTCTAGTGGTGTCAAAAGAGAGCATCTGATGACTCAGAAGGGAGGTCTGGGCGGCATCCGGACAGCGAGGGCCGGGCTCAGGGCCGGGCTCGTTTTAAGCAAACAGTCACACACTTCGCGCTCTTCGACCTCCCCGAACTCCATTCCCGGGCCACATTTTGAATGCCCGGAGCCAACTGTAGGCCACTTCGTGCTCTTCGACTTCCCAGAACTCCATTCCCGGGCCACATTTTGGATGCCCGGAGCCAACTGTAGGCCACTTCGTGCTCTTCGACTTCCCAGAACTCCATTCCCGGGCCACATTTTGGATGCCCGGAGCCAACTGTAGGCCACTTCGTGCTCCAACTGTATGCCACTTCGTCCTCTGAGGCTGAGGCTGCGGCTGAGGCTGAGGCTGGCTGAGGCTGAGGCCGACGGCAGACTGAGGCTGAGGCTGCTGAGGCTGAGGGTTGAGGCTGAGGCTGAGGCAGGCTGAGGCGGAGGCTGAGGCAGGCTGATGCTGAGGCAGGCTGAGGCTGAGGCTGAGGCTGATGCAGGCTGAGGCTGAGGCAGGCTGAGGCCGAGGCCGAGGCTGAAGGCAGACTGAGGCTGCTGATGCAGGCTGAGGCTGAGGCTGGCTGAGGCCTGAGGCTGATGCAGAGGCTGAGGCTGAAGCAGGCTGAGGCTGAGGCTGAGGCAGGCTGAGGCTGAGGCTGAGGCAGGCTGATGCTGAGGCAGGCTGAGGCTGAGGCTGAGGCTGATGCAGGCTGAGGCTGAGGCAGGCTGAGGCTGAGGCCGAGGCTGAAGGCAGACTGAGGCTGAGGCTGAAGCAGGCTGAGGCTGAGGCTGAGGCAGGCTGAGGCTGAGGCTGAGGCTGAGGCAGGCTGAGGCTGAGGCTGAGGCTGATGCAGGCTGAGGCTGAGGCAGGCTGAGGCTGAGGCCGAGGCTGAAGGCAGACTGAGGCTGAGGCTGAAGCAGGCTGAGGCTGAGGCTGAGGCAGGCTGAGGCTGAGGCTGAGGCAGGCTGATGCTGAGGCAGGCTGAGGCTGAGGTGAGGCTGATGCAGGCTGAGGCTGAGGCAGGCTGAGGCTGAGGCCAAGGCTGAAGGCAGACTGAGGCTGAGGCTGAAGCAGGCTGAGGCTGAGGCTGAGGCAGGCTGAGGCTGAGTCTGAGGCAGGCTGATGCTGAGGCAGGCTGAGGCTGAGGCTGAGGCTGATGCAGGCTGAGGCTGAGGCAGCCTGAGGCTGACGCCGAGGCTGAAGCAGACTGAGGCTGAGGCTGAAGCAGGCTGAGGCTGAGGCTGAGGCAGGCTGAGGCTGAGGCTGAGGCAGGCTGAGGCTGAGGCTGAGGCAGGCTGAGGCTGAGGCAGGCTGAGGCTGAGGCTGATGCAGGCTGAGGCTGAGGCAGCCTGAGGCTGAGGCCGAGGCTGAAGGCATACTGAGGCTGAGGCTGAAGCAGGCTGAGGCTGAGGCTGAGGCAGGCTGAGGCTGAGGCTGAGGCAGGCTCAGGCTGAGGCAGGCTGAGGCTGAGGCTGAGAGTGAGGCAGGCTCAGGCTGAGGCAGGCTGAGGCAGATGCCGAGGCTGCAGGCAGACTGAGGTTGAGGCTGAAGCAGGCTGAGGCTGAGGCTGAGGCAGGCTGAGGCTGAGGCTGAGGCTGAGGCAGGCTGATGCTGAGGCAGGCTGAGGCTGAGGCTGAGGCTGAGGCAGGCTCAGGCTGAGGCAGGCTTAGGCTGAGGCCGAGGCTGCAGGCATACTGATGCTGAGGCTGAAAGCAGGCTGAGGCTGAGGCTGAGGCAGGCTGAGGCTGAGGCAAGGCTGATCTGAGGCAGGCGAGGCTGAGGCGAGGCTGTGATGAGCTGAGGCTGAGGCAGCAGGCTGAGGCGAGGGCCGAGGCCGACGGCCGACTGAGCTGAGACTGAAAGCAGGCTGAGGCTGAGGCAGAGGCAGGCTGAGGCGAGGCTGACGCAGGTCTGATGCTGAGGCAGCTTGAGGCTGAGCTTGAGCTGCAAGCAGGCTGAGGCTGAGGCAGCTGAAGCCGAGGCGAAGGCACAGAATGAGCTGAGGGCTGAAGCAGGCTGAGGCTGAGGCTGAGGCAGGCTGAGGCTGAGGCAGGGAGCTGCTGCTGAGGCAGCTGAGGCTGAGCTTTGTGACTGCTACTGCGTGCCACTGCGACTGCTATCCGCGAATGCGACTACGACTGCGAGAACAGATAATTCTACAACGGATTATCATCTGAATCTAAGGGGAATGCTTCCGGATATAGCTCCTAACATCGACTGTTTAGGTGGCTTCTTTTTTTTTTTTTTTTTTTTTTTATTTTTTTCTTTTTTTTTTTTTTTGTTTTTTTTTTATTTTTTTTTTTTTTTCTTTTTTTTTTTTTTTTATTTTTTTTTTTTTTTTTTTTTTTTTGTTTTCTTTGTTCTTTTTGCCGGGATACTTTTGTATCCTTCGGCCTCGAGGGGCCTTCGCCGGGCCCCGGGACCGTCAGACAACGACTCAGGATGAAACACCGGTTCTGGAGAATGTGTCGAGACTTCAGGGACCCCGAATTGAAAAGTCACTACATCGGATCTCTGGGAAGATGGCCGCGTTCTTCGCGGCCTGGGCCCAGAGTCGCCCAGCTCCCGGGGGGGCGGAGATTGGTGACCTGGATGTCAGAGGAGGAAGAGGTAACCAGACATGCTCGCGTCGTAGGAACATGCAGACGGGAGGTTGTTGGTCAATTTCGGCCTTGGGGGGCCCTCGCTGGGCCTCGGGAGCGTCTAAAAAGGACTCAGGACGAAAGACCGGTCTCAGGGAAAGGGTTAGGGACCGCGCACTGAACAAATCACGACATCGGATCTCTGGGTAGATGTTAGAGGAGGAGGAGGAGGAGGAGGAGGAGGAGGAGGAGGAGGAGGAGGAGGAGGAAGAGGAGGAGGAGGAGGAGGAGGAGGAGGAGGTACCCCTACCGCTTCCCGCCACCCGTCCCTCGTTTCCGCCTCTCTGGGCCTCCCGGGAAGCTCTCGCCGCCCCCGCTGGATGCGCCTCGAAGTCCTGGCCAGGCCGCACCCCGGGAGGAGTCCGGGGAGCATCAGCATCGGCACCTGTTGTCAGCCACGCGCAGCGAGGGGGGCAGGGGGGAGGGAGGAAGGCTCCTTAAAAGCACCCCTGCTCCTCAGCAGGCGCAAGCCTGGTCTGCAGCTGTGGGGCCGCCGCCTCTCCTACAAGAGGCGGCCTGCTTCCAAGAAGCCTTCCCCTTCTCCCCCTGTACCCCATGTGCGCGCGCAAGGGGGAGCCGTCAATTTGGGTATCTGGATAACTCCCCGGCTTCCAGCCTTCGTCCTTCCCCCGCACGGACGGAGCTTCAACTTCGGGTTCCAAGCTACGTGGGGTTCAGCTCCCATGGACAAGCTTGGACTGCTTCGTCCTTCCCCCAGCTTGGGGGCTTTGTCAGCCTAGCTTCGAGGGTGACCCCCCCTCCTTCCAGCCAAGCTGGGCATTCCCAAGATGTGGCCGAGTTTCTCCGTAGCCGTTTTCTGGCTCAGAAGCACCCGCGGGGCGCCCGCGCGGGTCGCCGCCGTGGGGGCCCGCGGCCGGCGAGCGGTCGCCGATGGCGCGCGGGGAGCCGCGGCCGCGTCCTCTCTCCGAGCGCGGGCGGCGGGCGGGGGGCGTCCACAGAGGGGGGTGCCGACCGTGGTCCGCCGCGCGCAGACGGGGGGTGCTCCTCTCCTCCGCCTCCTTCTCCTGTGGCCTGCTTTTCGCCTCTTCGCCATCCGCTTGCTCCTTCTTCTCTCCCCCCCTGCTGCTCGTCAGCATCGTCCTCCTCCTCCTCCTCCGCCGCTGCCTTGTCTACCTCCTCATCCGCCTGTCGTTGGAGCGCCTCGGCTGGGTGCATCGGCACGGCCTTCGTCCAGCGCTTTTGTTCAGCCGCGCGCAGAGGGGGTATGGGGGAGGGTGAGATGCTTCCCAGAAACACCCCTGCTTCTTCGAAGACGCGGGCCTGATTCTCCGAACAGACAGTGCGTGCACTCAGGGGTTCCTACTCTAAAGCACTGGGCCTGTGTGTCGGTCTGGCGGCTCCGTGTTGGCCGTCGCCGTCTCCTCGCCGCCTCCTCGCCGCCTCGTCGTCTGAGCCTGATTGTCGGTCTGGCGGCTCCTGCCGTCGCCGCCCTGTCGCCGCTCGTCGTCTGGGCCTGGAGATGGAAGGCGGTCTGGCGGGCGGCTCCGTTCTCGCCGTCGCCGCTGCGTCGCCGCTCATGTTATCTCCGTCCTGGAAAAGTATTAAGATCTCCCCCGCCCCCGCCCCCCGTCCCGGACTTAGCGATCCCCCTTCCCGTATGTAATCTATACTTGTGATTTTTCGGCTTACGCTGCACCGCCGGCCCCT